TCTCTTCAAAGATTTAAAGTAACTTCCCCAAAATTCTACACAGCTAATTGTTTCTATTATGAAAACACGAGCTTAAGCTGGGAGAGAATGCATTAAATCTTGGGAACGCATTGGTCTAGTTTTTTTAAAAAACATTCAATTTATCGACCAAAAAAAAGAAAGTAATCCTACAGCCATTTAAAAGCCTCAATATCGTGACTTTAGGGGGGAAAATTTCAAAATCTTTGCAAAAATACCACTTTTTCAAAATCATTTACTTAATATATCATTTATGTTTGGATTAAATATGTTGTATCAGAGTTTAGTTTTGAGGGTTTAAAATTTATTAGGGGTCAAAACCTTATTTAGGGTTCAAAATTTTTAGATTTAGTGTTTAAGAATTATTAATAGTGGCATTTTTTAAAATTGACAACCCATAGTAGCATTTTTAAAAATAGACACACCAAAAATATCATTTTTTAATTGTTAAAAAAACAAAGTGGGTAGTTAAGGCTAATAATAAAAAATAGGTTTTAAAAGTCGGAAAAACGGTCAATTTGAATCCAAACAATTTGCGTCGTGCCGTTTTAGACATGAATTGTTGTCTATGGCTAATTTAACCCTGAACTCCAAATTAATTCAAATCTTATACCTGAACTGACATATTTTGTGCCGAATTGTACTTTGACCAAGATTCTGTTAGTCAACATTAACGTGATATTGACTAAAACGACACGTGGGTTAGCTGGCTCGATTTCGTTGGTTCAAAACGAAGTCATTTCGTTGTTTTAGTAAAACGTTGTCGTTTTCATTTAGAAAAACTTGAAATCAAATCTCTAATTCAATAAAAAGACGTCGTTTTCGTTTGAGGATTTATCGAATTAGGTATTCGATTTCAAGTTTTTTATTAATGAAAACGAAACGTTTTACATAAACAACAAAACGACGTCATTTTGAGCCAACGAAACCGAACCAACTAACCCACGTGTCGTTTTAGTCAATATTCTGTTAATGCTGACTAAAGGAATCTTGGTCAATGTACAATTCGACACAAAACATGTTAGTTCAGGTATAAGATTTGAATTTATTTGGAGTTCAGGTTTAAATTAGCCATAAGCAAAAGTTCATGTCTAAAACAGCACGACGCAAATTATTTGGATCCAAATTGACCAAAAGTCTAATTAGCAAAATTTTGACTGTTAAGACTTTAAAATATGGTAAAATCCTGCCTAAACATTTGTCCCTCTCTTTCCCCTACCTGGCTATCTCTTGACGAGGCCGTGCCTATGTAGTAATTTTTTAGGCATTGGCACTGAGGCCCTCTTCAAATTATAAAAATATAGGGACCCAAATTTACATATATTCATTAGGCGAAGTGACATATACTTATATTTTGTTTTTTTAATAGCATAATACAAAATTTTGGACATTAACTTTCTTTTGTTTTTTAATGTTTTGGCTTAATTTATCTCATATTCATATTGGACTCAATATTAAAGAATATAGCCATCAAAATGGGTTATTTCAATAAGTAACCAACTGACCTAATGGATTTATGATTTTATCCCTATTTTCAACATTATATACAGCATTGTCGGATCTTAATCTGATATGGTGTTAAGAAGGAGGAGAAAAATTACAATGGAGCTGACTTATTCTACATGGTGTTGGTGGGGTGGAGAAGTCTTTTGTGCCCTTAATGAATCTAATTTTTTTTATTTGAAAATCAAACAAACCAACCCAAAATCAATCTTCAATTCAAACCAACCACTCAACCACCAATCATTGAATTGTCTTGGATCTCTCTCTCTCTCTTCTTGTTACCTAGTTGCCGACAGCAAAGATCCACAGCAAAAAGAAGAAAAAAGTGGATMTTTTCATCACGGTTTCTTGAGTTTCTCGGAAGCTCAGAGGGCAAAAAAAATCGAATCTGTCCCCTCTCTTTCGCTAAGGTTTGTTCTTCCTCTCTCTATGTT